CAGAGATGTTATTTGTTTGTTTGCTTTTAGTTGAATGTGAGTGCCTTCGGAGGGTGCTCTTCCGTTTACTTTAGGCCTCACCGTTGTCTGTTTTCTCCCGTGACTGTCTTCAGACATTTAGATTGCCTGCCAGGCACTTGTTGGAGGTTGCTGCCTTGGCCAGTCGTTAATTAGACCCGGGTTTCTTGGTGGACTCCTGGCTACTGCCCCCTCCCCAGGCTGGCAGCTGTGGCTTCAGACCCGCTCCTCTCCCTGCCTCACCCTGTAGATGCAGGCCCTGACTTCCTGTGAGTGCACCATCTGCCCTGACTGCTTCCGCCAGCACTTCACTATCGCCTTGAAGGAGAAGCACATTACCGACATGGTGTGCCCCGCCTGTGGCCGCCCTGACCTCACCGATGACACACAGCTGCTCAGCTACTTCTCTACCCTTGACATCCAGGTACTGCAGTCCCTAGGACTCGGGGTGCCCTGGGCTTTGAACAGGAACCCTGCCCACCCACCACTTCTGCATCCTGTCCCCAGCTTCGGGAGAGCCTGGAGCCAGATGCCTATGCGCTGTTTCACAAGAAGCTGACTGAGGGTGTGCTCATGCGGGACCCCAAGTTCTTGTGGTGTGCCCAGGTAAGTGGCCTGCGCAGGGGAGCTGACTGGAGGGGGTTGGGGGAGGGCAGGGTGCCAGACCAGGCCTCAGATAGCTTTATGCTCTTGCACCCACAGTGCTCTTTTGGCTTCATATATGAACGGGAGCAGCTGGAGGCAACGTGTCCCCAGTGTCACCAGACCTTCTGTGTGCGCTGTAAGCGCCAGGTGAGGCACATTCATCCTTTCAGAAAGAACTCGCTAAGCTACTGGCAGGTACTATGTCAGACTCGGGGTATGCCGAAGCACGGAACAGACGTGAGCTCTGGGCTCGAGGAGCCTGCAGACTAGTCAGGAAAGGAGGGAGGGACGGAGGGAGACAGGGAGGCGAGGGGGAGGGAGGGTGAAAGGTAAGGTAACGGAGGAAGGAATGGGGAGGGAGGGCGGGAAGGAAGGAAAGGCGAGGAGGAAGGAGGGAAAGGTGGTGCGGGAGGGAGAGAGCCTAAGTACACATGGCCTAAGTTCTATAAAGAAAACACAGGAATCGGAAATTAGGAATAACAGAGCAGACCTACTTAGGATAGAGAAGTCAGACAAGTCTTCTCTAAAATGGTTTAATTTAAGCTCAGGCCTGAAAGTTAAGAAGAAGCCAGCTTTGCAAAGGATATTTGGGACAGAAAGAACAACACATGGAAAGGCCAAAGTCAGAAAAAGTGTTGTGTGGCTGGAGCCCCAAGAGCAAGGGTGAGAGTGGCAGGCGGTCGGAGAGGAGCTAGCTGCCAAATCAGGAGAGGCCTTGAGGCCAAGTGAGGAAGGTCTTTGCCTTTTATTCTAAGACTAAGCAAGGGGTGATACTGTCTCGTTTGCCTTTTAAGAAGTTTAATATTTGAGTGCTCGCTTTGGCAGCACATATTCTAAAAAGTTTAACGTCAGATACCAAAAAGTGACATCTCTATTACAAAACACAATAGTAATAAAATGACCACCTGAGACCCTACCACTAAATCTCGAAACTAGAACACTCCCAGTGCTCTCGAAGCCGCCCGCCTTACATTCTCCAAGGCTCCTTGGCCGCAGGGTGGAGCGTGCACTGCAGACGAGCAGGTGCGGAGGCAGACACACCAGGACCCGAGGCAAGACCTGACCTGGCCTGGAGTAGCGGGGCCATAGTAGGGATGAAGAAAAGGGACAGGGCTGAGATAGGCTTGGGGGGTGGACAGAAGACCTGCTAGTGAATATGTGCCGGTATGAGGAAGCGAAGGAACCCAGGCTAGCCCCTTGGTTTGAGATGGGAGCCAATGGCGAAGGACAGTGCCACAAACTAAGCCAGGGACCACTAGGTAGGAGAGGCGGGGCCCTCAGGAAGGGCCCAGGGTGGAGTTTTCAGGTGAAGCTTGCTTTCCCTCCTGCAGTGGGAGGAGCAGCACCGAGGCCGGAGCTGCGAGGATTTCCAGAACTGGAAACGCACCAATGACCCAGAATACCAGGCCCAGGGCCTGGCCATGTATCTCCAGGAGAATGGCATTGGTAAGGGTGGCCCTCCAGACCTGTTTGCCGGGTCATTTGTCACTGCCCACGGCTCTCTTCCTAAGGGCCTTGTGGAGCGGTGGCAGCCCCAGCCCTGACCTGCTGTCCTTTGCAGACTGCCCCAAGTGCAAGTTCTCGTACGCACTGGCCCGAGGAGGCTGCATGCACTTTCACTGCACCCAGTGTCGCCACCAGTTCTGCAGTGGCTGTTACAATGCCTTTTACGCCAAGAATGTGAGCCCGGAGAATGGGGATGGAAGGGACAGGAGGGTGGGCGGCTGCCATCGGGTGGGCAGGGGGGGCAAAGGCATGGAGGAGTAGCCTAGGGGAAGAGAAGGGGAGGCCAGTGGGGTGTAAAGCACCTCTCTCTGTCCCCCTTCTGCCTGCTCCAGACCCTCCAATATCTCCATCTTCCCCCATCCCTAGACCCCTCATGCAGGGGTTCTGAGAAGCCAGGACCCCAACCGTCTCCAACTTCCCCTCTCCCATCTGGGTTTCCGCCAGAAATGTCCAGACCCTAACTGCAGGGTGAAAAAGTCCCTGCATGGCCACCACCCACGAGACTGCCTCTTCTACCTGCGGGACTGGACTGTTCTCCGGCTCCAGAAGCTGCTACAGGTCAGGGGTGGCCAGCCTGGCTGGGTTTGCAGATTGCCCAGGGTAGGAGGCAGGGCCCTGGGTGGCAAGAAAGGAAAGGCTCCCTGCTGGGCAATTCAGCGGGGCTGGCATCAAGAGGAATCTAACACCCATCCTTCTGCCCCTCCTCAGGACAATAATGTCATGTTCAACACAGAGCCCCCAGCAGGGGCCCGGGCGGTTCCTGGCGGTGAGTGTCGGGACAAGCCTGGGAGAAGGGGTGAGGGCGGGCTGGGCTCCCACTTTGTTGTGGGTAAGGGGGAGGCTTGGGTGTGTGGTCAGAGCTCGGCCTGTGCTGACTTGTGTGTTTCTGGGCAAATTAACCTCTCTCAGCCTACTTTCTTCCTCTGTGATGTGGGAGTAATACGCCTACTTTGCAGCTCAGCTGTTTTACACGAGGCCACATTGAAGCACCTGGCACTTGATCCTAATTTCCTTCTCCCATTCCCGAAGGATAATGACTCGTTAACTCAATAACGAGACTTGCTAGTTGCACTGTTTTAGATTCTATGAAGGCAACAGGGAGAGGTTACCTATGGTTCTAATCTGCCCCACCCCTTATTACCATAAGGTAAGACCTTCCCAGAGTAAGTTAACTAGGCCCGAGCTAAATCACAGCCAAAAGAGTTGTCTCAAGAGAGTATGTGACGATAAACAAGAGAGAAAGAGTAGTGATTACGGACCAAAAGCAAGCTTGGATAAAAACAGGGCCAGCAAGGCCCCTGCTTGTGTGTCAGAGCTGGGCTGCCACGGCGGTCTCTCTCAGCTCCCATGGCCCTCTGACCCCCAGCACTGTTAGGGCAGTCCCCTCCCTGGAGGCTGCCTCCCCTGCCTCCGTTGATACCCCAGCTCTCCGGGGGCTTCGTGGTTAGTGACGTCCTCCCAACACAAGGGTCCCTTCCTTCCCTTATCCTTAGGTGGCTGCCGAGTGATGGAGCAGAAGGAGGTTCCTAATGGGTTCCGGGATGAAGCCTGTGGCAAGGAGACCCCGGCTGGCCATGCTGGGCTCTGCCAGTGAGTATCAGGCATGGCCCGGAGCTCGGTGGTGGGGACGGTGCGCCTGGGGAGTACCAGGGGGCTGCGGGAGTGGTGGGTCCTGCAGGGGAAGTGGTGGAGGGGGCTGCCTGGGCAAGGGCGTGGCTAGGTGGTGCACAGGGAGTGTGTGCCTACCGGGGCAAGCGGCAGGAGTTGTCAGTCTTGTTCGCCTGAGTAGGCGAGTGCCCGGCAAGGTGCTGGGCACGCTAGCTTAATGTTAGCCGGACGGAAGAACAAATACCCTGTCGTCTCCCCAGGGCACACTACAAAGAATATCTTGTGAGCCTCATTAATGCCCACTCACTGGACCCAGCCACCCTGTATGAGGTAGAGGAGCTGGAAACAGCTGCAGAGCGCTACCTGCACGCACGCCCTCAGCCAGTGGCCGGGGAGGACGCCCATGCCTACCACGCCCGCCTATTACAGGTAAAGCACCCCCCCAGCCTCACCTCTGACCCACGCCCTAGAAGTCCCCTGTCCAGCCTGTGTCTGAGCTCTAGGCTTCCAGTGTGATCATTTTCTCTCTCCTTCTGCAGAAGCTGATGGAAGAGGTGCCCTTGGGACAGAGTATCCCTCGCAGGAGGAAGTAGCTGAGGGCAAGGATCCTCTTGAGGGTCTCAAGGCCCAACCTCCTCAGGAACAGCTCCAGCACCAATAAAGAGGCATCTCCTTGCCCAGGCTTTTTGGTGGTCCTTCTTCTGGCCCCACCATCTGGGGCACGAGGGAGAGAGGGGGGTGAACTGAGAGCTTTGCTGAAAGGGTTGCCTGCAGCCCACCACCTGACCCTCCTTGGACTCAGGGCCAGGAAGGAATTGACACCATGGATGGCCAAGGAGCCCCTCCCGAGCCAGCCACCTGGCCTGGGCTTTCTCCTCCCCTACCTCCTTTGTTCCTTCCTGGAATTCGGCTGATATTTGAGGTCACCTACTAGGCACCAGGCAGGCACGAGGGGGAAAACACAGGTGCACGGGTGCTATAGGGCCAGCCAGAGGACTCAGGCCAGACTCCAGAACCCTGGCCTCCCTGGGAAGCAGCAGTGTCACAGAGATCAGGGAGTAGCTAAAGGGGTTGTGGGGGGGAGAGGGTTGGAAATGAGCCTGAGCGGGGAGGAGCCCTCCTGTGTCCGACCGTGGGATTCCAGCAGCGCGGTCCTCAGGTGCTGCTGCTGCCCCCTGGTGGCGCGCGGTTGCCCTGCAGCTCAGGCCACGTGATTTCTGAGAAGAGGCCCTGCCTAGAGGAGAACTGAAACTTAGGGTGGGGACTGTAGGAAGGGGCGGAGAGATCAGGACGCTGCCTGGACGGCTGCTGAGCCGAGGGCTGCTGCATCCTGGGACAGTCAGCGAGCCGCGCAGGTAAGACCGGCCGAGAGTGGACGTCAGCCTGGGTCTAGAGCTGGAGGGCCCGGCCGGATCGGAGGCGGGGGGCGGGGGCTCCCGGGGCCCCTCCGCGGAACAGGAATATACAGGTGGCTTGTGAGCCAGGACGGGGTGGTTTGGCCTGAGAGACTGGCCACGGGCCAGAGTCCCCAGCCCTGGAGGCAAGGGACAGGAGGCCCTGCTGATAGGTTGTTGGAAGTCTCAGCCCCGGCTCCAGCTGCCCCGGTTTATTTTCTTGCCTCAGGCCCTGCCCACTTCCGCTGCAGCCCTGCCCCACCTACCCCAGAGGCAAGCAGAGGGGAAGGGTTGGTGGGATCAAACCCAGATTATGGGGCTGGTGGGTGAGGGACCTATGGGGCATCTCAGAAGCCCATACTACCTCTGCAAATGCTTGGGGTAGAGAGCGGGCCTCTCCCCACGAGCCACACCAAGGCCACACCAAGGGAGTTCTCTGCTAGACAGATTCCTGAAAAGTCTTAAAACTAAGACCAATGTCTAAGGTTTCCTTCCAGATATCATAGCTTGGGATGTTAAAAGGAATGTATTTCTTTGTCATTACTAATAAAGGGAGAAACGACACAATTTGGCCCCAGAATTTTGAGAAATGTCTACAGGCAAAAGATGGATGGGATCACTGGGGGCCCTTGCCGGAATCCAACCCCGGGACAGATGTTCCCTCCCACGGTGTTGATTGCACTGATGCTACCTGCGACTCTTGTCCCCAGGATGGCATCAGGCAGGGCACGCTGCACCCGAAAGCTGCGGAACTGGGTGGTGGAGCAAGTGGAGAGCGGGCAGTTCCCCGGGGTGTGCTGGGACGATGCAGCCAAGACCATGTTCCGGATCCCCTGGAAGCACGCGGGCAAGCAGGACTTCCGGGAGGACCAGGATGCCGCCTTCTTCAAGGTGAAAGAGCCTGGAAAGCAGCCCCTCCGAGGGAAGGGTGGCGGATACACTGAAGCTCTCGCCCTCCAGGGGTTGTGTCGGCCTGGGTTTCAGAGAAAGAAGAGATGGGAGGGTAGAACCAGCTGCATTTTGGATACAGCCCGATACAAAGTGGAAGTGCAAAAATTGTGAAGGGTTTCGAGACCGCGGTAGCAGAGCATCAACCCGAGCGCTGGGCCTTCTGTGCACGCACTCAGGTGGTGGGATCTCGAAGCTGGCCGGGGTATGTGACATGCTGCCTCTGCTTTACTTCCTGTGTTTTGAAGGCCTGGGCGATATTTAAGGGGAAGTACAAGGAGGGGGACACGGAAGGCCCTGCTATCTGGAAGACTCGTCTGCGCTGTGCCCTCAACAAGAGTCCTGAATTTGAGGAGGTTCCTGAGAATGGCCATAGGGACGGAGCTGAGCCCTACAAGGTGTATCGGCTGCTTCCGCCGTCAGGGACCCTCCCCGGTGGGTGTCCCCTTGCCCAGCCACTCCTAGAAGGAGCACACTGGGGACGGAGGGAGGATGGAGATGGGAGCCTTCTGGGAGGGTGCTGGGCCTCTCCCCAGGTTCCTCATTCAGAGTTCTACCCTGTCCCTGTCCTTGGGGAGCTGCTGCCCAGGTTCCCCTGCCTGGTCCTGTCCATCCTTTCACTGCCCCCCTGTCCTACCCTCTGTCCCCAATTAAGGCTCTGACCTTTCTCCCCCTCCACAATATTCCACAGCCCAGCTGGGGACCCAGAAATCACCATCAAAGCGACGTCACAATTCTGTGTCCTCTGAGAAGGAGGATGAGGGTACCACAAAGAACGGCAAGCTCAGTTCCTCCTTGCTTGAGGACCCCCTCAGAAATGTAAGAGCTGGGGAGGGACTGGGGGTGGGGGGCCCAAGGGCAGGACGGTCACTAGGGGAGAGGTGGGCCAACGATAGTCACTGTGTCTGCAGGAGGAGGTGGGGGCCAATGGGGCAGCAGGCCATTCAAACTTTGGGAGCGGCGGCGGCAGCAGCCCTGAGCCTCAGGAAGGTACCACCTGCCCTGCCTCTGTTCGTTGCCCCCATGCCGTAGCCTCTGGCCCTTGGATTCCCCGTTCCCATTCTGAACTGTACGCCTTGGCTTCTCCTATAGGGACAGACACAACTGAAGCCCCTTTCCAAGGAGATCAGGTGTCACTGGAGTTTCTGCCCCCTCCAGACTCAGGTGTGTGGCGTTTCTGACTCATCCCTGCTCCCTGTCCCCCTAGCTTGTCTCCCTGTCATCGTGCATGCGTTATTGGATCAGTCAGGGTTTGCAGCAAACTGGGCCCACCTTACCCAGGCAGAGGCACCAGTTTCTCGGCAGTACACCTGGCCAGACTCCAGACTCCAAACAGCTCAATTCTCAAAAAGACCCCCTATGCACTCTATTCCCTGGAAATCCACTTTGAGACATTAATTCCTGTCGGTCAAGCAGAGACCCAGTCTCTGGGACCTTCTTATAAACTGTAAGACCCTGGGCAATAAGCACTGAGACCTCAGGGGGCATTTGTGTATCAGTGACGGGAAAGTCTGACAGGAAGCCCCTTGGCTGGTGAGGGTGGCCGGAGGGCGGATGAGGAGGGAGGTGCCTTCTCTAACCTCAGGAGGTGAAGCCGCTACCCCCGCCCTCGCTTGGTTTCCCTCTTGGACCTCCTGTTTCTCACCAGCAAAATGAGGATGTGGGATTTGCAAGGAGCCCCTCCTCATTTCCTCAGGCCCTGGTGCTGACCAGGCGGACCCCTCGGGTGAAGTCCAGGTGCAGCTGGTGGTTCTCTGTCCGCAGACTACTCGCTGCTGCTCACCTTCATCTACGGCGGGCGTGTGGTGGGTGAAGCCCAGGTGCAGAGCCTGGACTGCCGCCTCGTGGCCGAGCCCTCGGGCTCCCAGTGCGGAATGGAGCAGGTGGTCTTTCCCAAGCCTGACCCACGAGAGCCCACCCAACGCCTGCTGAGCCAGATCGAGAGGGGCGTCCTGGTAGCCAGCAACTCCCGGGGCCTCTTCGTGCAGCGCCTCTGCCCCATCCCCGTCTCCTGGAATGCGCCCCAGGCACCACCCGGTCCCGGCCCGCATCTGCTGCCCAGCAATGAGTGCGTGGAGCTCTTCAGAACCAACTACTTCTGCAGAGGTGAGGCTGTTGCAGCTGAGCGGAGCCCATGCCCCTACCTCTTAGTCCACCCGGGACCTGCTAGGCTCTGCCACCACCCTGTTTCCTCCAGTAGATCCTTCCTTACAGCTCATGTGCGCGGTGCACAGCCTGTGGGGCCCTGGGCTCAGCCCCACAGCTGCCTGGCAGCCGCCCTTCCCCGGCGCAGGCCTCGGAAGATGAGGCTCAGGGGGAGCTCAGCACACGAGTCCCATCTCGGGGACTGCCCCCGCGTGGCAGCAGACAGTAACAGGAAGGTGTGCCCCCGGGGCCTCCCCAGCGTCTACACTTACGCACACGCCATCGACATATTTGGGAGAGCTGGTGCACATTACCCACACCAGCCGTGCCACACCCCAGGCAGCTCCCCTGATTGCCCTTCTCCCGTCCACTCCTCCAGTTCCACTTCCTGCCTCCATTCATTTCTAAATCTGACCTTAGGAGTTAGGGGCCAGGAGTATAGGGGACGCAGGGTAGGAACGTCCCGGGGCCATGGGTGCCCTTGGTAGGGAGGGTGCGAGCAGGCAACAGGGGGTGGGGGGCACCTCTGTGTTAGCAGCCCAGACTGCTGCCATGAGGACTCCAGGCTCTTCCAGCAGAGAGCTTTGCAGGTTGTATAAAAATCAGTTACCTTAAAACACTTCTTACTTGGAGAAGGGGCACCCTTGCGTATTTGCACACGGATGGGAAGCAGCAGAGTTGCTGGCATTTCTCCTGACGTGAGGGAACAGCCTCGTGACCCTGCAGCTCCTGTTCTGGCTCTGGTCTCCAATTGGCCCCACAATCACCGCTCTTTGTCCAGGATGGGCCTCTCTCTATTCCCACCCTCCCTGTGACCTCTCTCTTCTCTTTTCTTGCTTCCAACCCTTTACCCTTTCTCTTTCATCAGACTTGGCCAGGTACTTCCAGGGCCTGGGCCCCCCACCCAAGTTCCAGGTGACACTGAATTTCTGGGAGGAGAGCCCCAGCCCCAACCATACCCCAAAGAGTCTTATCACAGTGCAGGTGAGTTCAGGGCGGGGGAAGGCCAGCCTCCCTGTGGGGGTGGGGTGGGGGTGGGTTCCTGGAGGAGAAGGGGCCTCTGGGGGAAAGGGTGCACCCTAGGGGTGGTGTCTGCCTCAGCTGTGCTCACGATCCTCTCTTCCCCACCTTTTTTGGCACAGATGGAGCAGGCCTTTGCCCGACATTTATTGGAGGAGACTCCAGAGGAGCAGTCAGCCACTCTGTCCCTGCTGCAGAGCCTGGGGGACCCATCTTCCTCCTCTCCTCTCTGTTCCTCCTATCTCCTTTGAAAGAGACTCATTCTCCACACTGTTGACCTGCCTCCCTCGGTGATCATTCTCAGTGGTTGTCTCTGATGGTTCTGTCCTTGAACTGACGATACACCTGGCTGGCAGAGAACTCAGGGGTGATTTTTATCCACCCCACCACCTTTTTGTTTTGTTTTGTTTTTTTGAGATATGCCTTCTTTCATCTCTGAGGAACCGACCTGGGAAAGTACAAATGGTGTGAACTCAGGGGACCTTTCCTCTTCCCCCACCCCTAAAGCCAAGCACTTTATATTTTCTTCTTAGATGTTCACTAGGGATTTAAAATAAAACTTTATTGAAAGAGGAGTCAGTATCTGCTTTGTTGGGTTGAAAAGGTAGCAGGGGTCACAGGGAAGTGCTAAAGATGTAATTTGAGAGCGAAATACTTGGGTTTTCTTCCTGCTGACCTCTCTGGGCCCCTTTCCTCTCCTCCACCCACAGGCTCTGGCTAGGAAGCTGTCTGGGCTCCGTGGGTTCCGGGCCTGGGGAGAGGATCGAGGTTAACCACCACGAAGAGCACAACCCACGGCTGCTGTTGCCACCAACTTCACATGGAAAAATCTGGGCTCCGCTCTTCTTGGCTAGAGGCCTCTGATTCGGGCCTTACAACAGGCTTAGAGGTGGACTCTGGGCTGGAGGTCTAAATGAACAGGAGAACTTGAAGTTGCCCTCAAACTATGGGCTAGAGGCACTGGAGCCTGGGAAGGGAGGGGGGACCAGAGGGAAGAGCTGCTGAGCCTCCTATGCTGAGGGAGGCCAGGCCCCGGTGCCTCTTCTCCCAGCACATGGGGCACTGTCACCCCAGCAGAAGGGGACTCCCAGCCTGGTTTCCTTGCTCTACCTAAGCCTCACAAAAGACCATCTGGCCTAGACCGCCATGTCACCAACACTCTGCTGGCTGAGATTTGAGGGCCCCAAATCAGCTGACACTCCTCTCCCTTGCCCACTGTGTTTATTTTGCCACCAAACTGAAAGTTTTCCCTTCACAGGCCACTTGTCATCTTACCTCTCCACTCACGTCCCACAGACCAGGTCAGACCTAAGTCACCACTTAGCTGATGCCGCAGCCTCCAACTTCCCCCTTCCTGCAGGGGACACCAGCTTGGAGGAGAGGGGCCTCCCAGATCAAACTCTTCCCTGTCATGTCGCTCTTATAAGCCTCACTGGTTCATCTACTTGATCAAAACCAACACGCCTAGATCCTCAAGGATCTTACTGTCGCATTTGACAAACTTCAGTGCTGCCTTCGAGCCTTTCTGCCTCCTTGGACCTTCCTTCTCTTCAGTCTTGCCCATCATCCTCCTGAGAAGCCAAGAGCCCAAACAGGCATTTGCATTAGCAGGGAAGAAAGCAGGTACTGAGTGCGCGGGTACACGAACTCTGTTGTGCCGTTGATTTGCTAAAAATCCCTCCTGGCCCTTGTTTGCACTTGCTACCTCCTTGACTTCCATCTTCTTTCTTTTCCTTTCTTTTTAATTTTAATTCCAGTATAGTTAACATACAGTATAGTTAACACATGTACAATTCTTTATCCATTTATTTATCGATGGATATCTGGCCATAGTTTGGCTATTGTAGATAAGGCTGCTATAAACACAGGGGGGCATGTATCCTTTTGAATTAGTGCTTTCATATTCTTTGGGTAAATACTCTGTAGTGGAATTATTGAATCATATAGTAGTTCTATTTTTATTTTTATTATTTTTTTAAAGATTTTATTTATTTATTTGACAGAGAGAGGGAACACAAGCAGAGGGGAGGGATAGAGGGAGAAGCAGACTCCCCACTGAGCAGGGAGCCCGATGCGGGACTCGATCCCAGGACCCTGGAATCATGACCTGAGCCGAAGGCAGACACTTAATGACTGAACCACCCAGGTGCCCCAGTAGTTCTATTTTTAATTTATTAAGGAACCGCCATACTGTTGTCCACAGAGGCTGCACCAGTTTGCATTTCCACCCACAGTGCACAGGGTTGCTTTTTCTCCACATCCTCTCTGACACCTGTTGTTTCTTGTATTTTTGATTTTAGCCATTCTGAGAGGTGTGAGGTGATAACTCATTGTGGTTTTGATTTGCATTTCCTTGAGGATGAGTGATGTTGAGCATCTCTTCATGTGTCTGTTGGCTGCCATCTGTATGCTTTCTTTGGAGAAATGTCTGTTCATGTCTTCTGTCCATTTTTTAATATTGGACTATTTGTTTTTCTGGTGTTGAGTTGTATAAGTTCTTTATATTTTTTGGATACTAACCCTTTATGAGATATGTCGTTTGCAAATATCTTCTCCCATTCAGTAGGTTGCCTTTTAGTTTTGTTGATGGTTCCCTTCACTATGCAAAAGCTTTTAATTTTGTTGTAGTCCCAATAGCTTATTTTGCTTTTGTTTCCCTTGCCTCAGGAGACATATCTAGAAAAATGGTACAGCTGATGTCAGAGAAATTACCACCTGTGCTCTCTTCTAAGATTTTTATGGTTTTTTTTAAAGATTTTATTTATTGATTTGTTAGAGAGAGACACAGTGAGAGAGGGAACACAAGCACGGGGAGTGGTAGAGGGAGAAGCAGGCTTCCTGCTGAGCAGGGAGCCCGATGTGGGGCTCGATCCCAATAGCCCGGGAACATGACCTGAGCCGAAGGCAGACGCCTAACGACTGAGCCACCCAGGCACCCCGATTTTTATGGTTTTAAGTCTCACTTTCAGGTCCTTAATCTGCGTTGTTTATTTTTATTTTGGTGTAAGAAAGTGGTCCAGATGCATTCTTTTGCATGTTGCTGTCCAGTTTTCCCACCACCATTTGTTGAAGAGACTGTCTCTTTCCCATTGCACAATTCTTGCCAACTTTGTTGAAGATTCATTGACCATATAGTTGTGCGTTTAATTCTGGGCTCTCTATTCTGTTCCATTGATCAGTGTGTATTTTGTAAATATTTATTTATTTATTTTAGAAGGAGAGCGAGCACAAGTGGGAAGGGCAGAGAGAGAGGGAGAGAGACTCTCAGGCAGACCCTGCACTGAGCAGAGCCAGATGTGGGGCTTGATCCAAGGACCCTGAGATCATGACCTGAGCCAAACCCAAGAGTCAGACACTCAACTGACACACCACCCAGGCGCCCCTCTCTGTGGCTATTTTCATGCCAGTACTATACAGTTTTTATTACTACAGCTATGACCTGAAGTCTGGAATTACGATGCCTCCAGCTTTGCTTTTCTTTCTCAGAATTGCTTTGGCTATTCGAGGTTTTTTTGTGGTTGCATACAAATTTTAGGATTGTTTGTTCTAGTTCTTTGAAAAATACGGTTGCTATTTTGATAGGGATTGCATTAAATCTGTAGATTGCTTTGGGTAGTATAGACGTTTTAACAATATTTGTTCATCCAGTTCATGAGCATGGAATGTCTTTCCATTTTTTTGTGTCATATTCAATTTCTTTCATCAGGGTTTTATAGTTTTTAGAGTACAGATCTTTTACCTCTTTGATTAAGTTTATTCCTAGGTATTTTATTATTTTGGGTACAATTGTAAATGGGATTGTTTTCTTAATTTCTCTTTCTGCTGCTTCATTATTAGTGTATAGAAATGCAATGGATTTCTGTACATTAATTTTGTATCCTGTGACCTTATTGAATTCATTGATCAGTTCTAGTAGTTTCTTGGTGGAGTTTTTAGGGTTTTCTATATATAGTATCATGTCATTTGCAAATAGTGAAAATTTTACTCCTTCCTTACCAATTTGGATGCCTTTTATTCCTTTTTCTTGTCTGTTTGCTGTAGCTAATACTTCTAGTACTATGTTGAATAAAAGTGGTGAGAGTGGACATCCTTATTTACTTATTTGACAGAGAGAGAGAACAAGCAGGGGGAGTGGGAGAGGGAGAAGCAGGCTCCCCACTGTGCAGGGAGCCCAACGTGGGGCTCCATTCCAGGACTCTGGGATCACGACCTGATCCGAAGGCAGACACTTAACCAACTGAGCCACCCAGGCACCCCTATTTTTTGGAATAGTTTGAAAAGAATAGGTATTAACTCCTTTTTTTTTTTTAGGATTTTATTTATTTATTTGACAGAGAAAGACACAGCAAGAGAGGGAACACAAGCAGGGGGAGTGGGAGAGGGAGAGGGAGAAGCAGGCTTCCCGCGGAGCAGGGAGCCTGATGTGGGGCTCAATCCCAGGACCCTGGGATCATGACCTGAGCCAAAGGCGGCCGCTTAACGACTGAGCCACCCAGGCGCCCCTAACGCCTTTTTAAATGTTTGGTAGAATTCCCCTGTGAAGCCATCCAGTCCTGGACTTTTAGGAGTTTTTTGATCACAGATTCAATTCCATTGCTGCTAATCAGTCTGTGCAAATTTTCTATTTCTCTCTGATTCAGTTATGTTTCCAGGAATTTACCCATTTCTTCTAGGTTATCCAATTTGTTGGCATATAATTCTCCATAATATTCTTTGATAATCTTTTGTATTTCTGTGGTGTTATTTCTCCTCTTTCATTTCTGATCTATCCTTTTTTTAAAATTTAATTTTAGGGGCGCTGGGTGGCTCAGTCGTTAAGTGTCTGCCTTCGGCTCGGGTCATGATCCCAGGGTCCTGGGATCGAGCCCTGCATCGGGCTCCCTGCTCGGCGGGAAGCCTGCTTCTCCCTCTCCCACTCCCCCTGCTTGTGTTCCCTCTCTCGCTGTGTCTCTGTCAAATAAATAAAAAATCTTAAAAAAAAAAAAAAATAAATAAATAATAAATAAAATTTAATTTTACTTTCTATTTCATTTATTTCTGCTCTAATCTTTATTACTTCCTTCCTCCTTTCCTTCCATTAGTTTTGGGTTTTGTTCTTCTTTTTCTAGCTCTAGCTTTAGGTGTAAGGTTTATTTGAGATTTTTCTTGAAGTAGGCCTGTATTGCTATCAGTCTCCCTCTTACAACAGCTTTTGTTGTATCCCAACAATTTTGGACCATTGTGGGTTTCTTTGTTTTGTTTTGTTTTTTTAATATTTTATTTATTTGTTTGTGAGAGAAAGAGCAAGCACAAGTAGGGGGAGTGGCAAGCAGAGGGAGAGGGAGGTAGAGGGAGAAGCCTGATAAGAAGGCTCTTATCCTCCAGCTCCTTCCTGCTGAGCAAGGAGCCCAATCCGGGACTCGATCTCAGGACCCTGGGATCATGACCTGAGCCAAAGGCAGACACTGAACTGACGGAGCCACCCAGGTACCCCTGGACCATTGTGTTTTAATTTTCATTTGTCTCCGTGTATTCTTTGATATCCTTTTTGATTTCTTGGTTGACCCATTCATTGATTAGTAGCATGTTATTTAAT